AAAATTTCTTTTGAATATCTTTTATTATTTGATCTCCTAAGATTTTCTATTGATTATTTAAGATAAGGTTTTTCAAAATAAATCATTCCTTTCGGTATTCACATAATCTTATCTTTCATGATATGATTTTTATGTAATTCCTTGTATCCATAAAATGTTTATCTCATCACCCAATTAATTTTTCTTGATATTCTTTATATGATGATATGAAATTATGCATGAAATACTCATGATATTATGTTGATGCATACAAATGAGAATTTATGATTTGTTTATCGCATGGTATGATTGAATCATTATTGTAAAAGAAAAAGGAAATTGTTAGCTTGCACATTGCAAAAGATAACAAAAATATATGCTAGCTTGAATGATAAAACATTAGATTGTTTATAAAATTTATTGTTCTCATGATGTGTAAATTGAAATAAAAGGAAATGAATTGTGTCACTGTATTGTTATTCCCCTCTTTTTGCCAATGACAAAGGGGAGAAAGAATTGCTAGTATGCACATCTCTAAAGAGAAAAATTGCTCGCGTGCACTTCTCAAAAGAGAAAAAAGAATGATGCTATCTTGTGAATTTTGCTAAGTTACATATTTCAAAAAAATACAAAAATAATTCTATCTTGTACATTTCAAAAACTGGCTAGTTTGAACATCGCAAAAAAAAGCAAATATGCCAACTTGCATATCCTTAAATTTGCTAGCCTACAAATTACATAATGATAAAAATAGAGATTATGTTTATTATGCAATGATTTTAACTTGTATTTCTAAACATTTAAAAGTTACACTTCTCCTTTTTGTTGATGATAAAGGGGGAGAAGTATGATCATGTATGCATGATGACGTATTGCAAATATTCATCATGCATAACATGATTATACTTTTCCCCCTTTGTCATCAACAAAAAGGAGAAGTGTAACTTTCAAATATTTGGAAATACAAGTTCAAATCATTGCATGATAAAATTTGCAATGACTTGAATTCAAGGTTTTATCAAAATGGCATATTGATAGGGGGAGTTAAGGTTAACTCCATCATCAATTGGTTGTCATCATAAAAAAAGGGGAGATTGATGAAACCAATTGATAAGTGTTTATGATTTGATCCGCGTTTTGAGTAATACAAGATGCTTCGATCAAGATGAGATGATTGAAGTAGGAAGAATCATGTTGGGCCGGAGGGAAACAAGTTAGAAGATTGGACGTCGGGCCGGAGGATCGGTTAACGTATCGGTAGAAGGCTTCGGGCCACGAATTCGGGCATCAGGCTAAGAAGAGCTGACATTGCACTAAGGATATCGGAGTTGCGGAGGTCAACTAGCCGATTGGGCAATAGGCTGCAAGAGAGGATGATGCGCCGAAGAATCGGACGAAGCGTTGATGGACCAATGACATACCGGACAACATGATTCATGCTTAGTAATAATTGTCGAGATCGAAGTGTGTTTTTATGTGTGAAAGATTAACTTTGATAGCAAGGCATAAAGCAAAGTGAAGTCCAAGAGTCAAGGATGTGATTTATTTTGCAGTTCGATAGTTCATCGGAAGTCCGGACGTTCGTCGAAAGTTCTACCGAGAAGTCCAAGAGCTTGCCAAAGAAGCTCATCGAAACTCACCAAGAAGATCGTCGTAAAGTCCAAGAGCTTGCTGGAAGTCCGTTGGAACATTGTTAGGAGATCGTCGGAAGTTCGTCAGAAGATCGCCAGAAGCTCGTTGGAAGAAACCAAAACCTAGGGACTTATTTAGCTTAAGTATGCCTTAGATTTCGTAGTTAGCACATAATTGGGAATGAATTTGGGCCAACCCAATTAGGGGCGAGTTGGGCCCATGTAAGGACTATGTTGGGCCTAATGAAAGGCCTAAACAGTGACCCAAGAGGTAGCACCGTCATGGCACAGTCTCCTAGACTATGTCAGGTGGTGGTACCGCCCAGTGGTCCAATACCAGGCGATGGTACCGCTAGACTAGGCGGTGGTACTGTCAAGTGTAGTGTTAGTGTCACACTAACACTGGTGGTGGTACCGCCCAACACAAGCGGTGGTACCGCTCAACATAGGCGGTGGTATCGCTCGGACCCAGGAAACCCGGGATGAGATGTTTTTAGGCTCAAAGTTTGAATCTTGTGTGAACTCGTCTCAAAAATTCTAAGTGTTAGAATAGTTTGAGAGAGGAGTAAGTGAGGGTGTAAGGGTTATCTCCTAAACCCGGTAAAAAGAGAATCGAGTTATAAAAGGTGGTTGGTCTTCACCTATTGAAGGAAGACCGATAGTGGATGCCGGTGGCCTCGACGGAAGAGGAATTGGCGGAGTGGATGTAGGTCACGATGACCGAACTACTATAAAAATCTGGTTTGCATTTCCTTTAAGTACTTTACTTTTATAGCAATCTACCTCTCCTCTTTACTGTGCCTTTACTATGCCTACACTTGCATACACTTTCAAATTTCTGAAATCGGTTTTCAACGTATGAAAGAATTTTCAGAACCGACGTTTTTACCACTGCACTAATTACCCCCCCCCCCCCCCTCTTAGTGCCAACTCGTTAATAACACAAATTGTATTCCGAAAATATTGACGGATGCCAGCAAGCACTAGCAGAGACTCCATAAGGTATAAAATCACCCCCGGGGAGACACTAGAGGGTGGAGGATTCACTATCCATGAAAAGGTGACTTAAGCTTTGGAGGGGTCAAGCTAGAGCTCCCATCTTCAACATTGACCTATCATGCACAGACTCGGAACAAAAGCCCCTCACAGATTTGCTAAAGAACACTCTAGGAGATAGCGACCATGACTCTTCATCCTTAGGATGACTTTACACAATCGAAGTCGAATCAAGTCATGTCCCTTCCCAAGCCATAACATAATGAATCACAACACTTACTATAATTAAATTTTATTTTTATTAACTGATAACTATAATCAAAATGAATTATATTCATAATATGTCTTTATCAATTTATATAGAGTCTTTTGTTTTTTTCTTTTCTAAAACTACTGAAGTCGTCCGGGCTTCTTAATATGAGAAAAAATTAAACATGACACTGTACACTGGGTTCTCTATCATCAGATTCTGAAATCCATGAATCTCAAAACAGCACCGTGCCTTTTTTCAGCAAACTCACATGTCCCAAGTGCGATCATCAAACAAGTTCCTCTTGTGCATGTATACGCCGATCTCCTTGTCGAATACAGAGTAAGACGATCGACATTTCCAGACAATGATTTAAGTTTCAGTGAGTGCTAGCTGCTGCTAATAACGTGCTTCGAGATGGTCGACTTTCCAACTTCAATGTATATATCCGCCGTGGAATTCAAATAAGGCTTGCAGCTGCTGTGGACCGAAGTTTCGTAATACACTGAATGTGTGCAACTTAAACACACAAATTTTGAATTAGTGCTCTAATCATGAACAACAACCACAACAATGCTAAAATGCGGCCAACTGTCCGTTGAAATATCTGATGGGAATATAAATAGGAATAATTTTTGTATAGGAACAAATACTAGAAGACCAAAATACGCAGCGGAATAAAATGGAAACACAATCAAACAGAACACCAAGATATACGTGGAAAACCCCTTCAATGTGAAGGGTAAAAACCACGGGGCAAACTAGAGATAATCCACTATGAGAATAATAAATGTACAAATCTCAATCTCTTGCCCAAAACCCTAGCAACAATCACAAGAGAATAACTGGGATACAAGGATCACATCACTGCTCACAATATCTATAACCTCCCCAAGTAATCACAGCAAGAGTCGAGTCTACTGTAGATTTGATCTAACCTAAGATGAGAACACTGCTAGATGATTGTGAACAGTCTCTCTGCGTTGTCCTTGTCTTCTTCCTTCTTTCTCTTCCTTTTCTGCCTTGTTCTCCTTCTTCTCTTTGGAATCTCATGGCTCACAAGATCTGCCTCGTTGCTGCCTTTTTATAGCCTTAATCTGCCTCTAAAACGCAGCCACCACACCCCCCTAATCTTAATTAGGGTTAAGTTAAGAGGGGGTGTGGGCTGTGGGCTGATAAAGCCCACATGGGCTGAATATGGGCCATCAGCCCAACAACATCGTAATGCATTATTACGTAAGTAATGATTTTGAGGTTCAAGACATTATTTAATATAATAGATATTATTAATTAATAATAAATGATTGTTTAAAAAAAATGAAACTAACTGCAGTACTGCAGACAGAAGCTTTGCCCAATGGAGCTGCCGCCAAACTTGTAATACAGTAAATTCCTGAAATCTAAATCTCTTGAATCCAAATAATTAAGACGAGCCTCCACAGCACACCGATCCATAAACATCGCGTGTTCTTTTGTCTTCCCACGGGCGAGTCGCCTGGCATCCTCAGAAGGTGAGTCCAAGAAACAGCGAGGAATCTCAAGACATGAATTATTTGCTCCCTGAATGTGCTCGACTCTAGTCGAGGATGGTAGTATATGACAATAGTGCAGAGCCGAGAACAAACAATGATGCGAGATATGGTCATTGCTGCAAGTTCGAATGATATTTTTAAGCAGAGGGAGATCATTTGCGCCAAGAAACAGCAACCGGCCTCCGGTTCACCTCTTAGACATTTAGTTTCTGGAGGGAATCAGTGTCGGGTAACGATCACATAGTAGATAACAGTGGTATAGATATGGAAACTAAAAACTTAGGCCAAACGCTTTCAAATTAATTGGCTGGAGATTTGGTGATCTTGGAATAATAGACGTTAAAAGCACTTCAAGCGACACCAATCAGCAGAATGCGAGACTCGAAAAGGACATGAACATGGTTGGCTCGACAAAACTAACGTTTATGATAGATACAGAAGACTCGAAGTCGTCTTTCTGCTACCAAGAGAAAATATTAAAGGGAAAAAAACGGAAAGGAAAAATCAAGCATCATCGTCAAAGCGGTTTTACTATTTTTCACCTCTATTTGACTCACTTTCTTTTCTCTTCTTCGTTTTATCAGCATTCTTCATCATCCACGTCGAAACATATCAACAGCTTGTGAAGGTGGGAGTGTCTTCGGAGAGACAAGGGGAGGAGGATTCATAGGAATGGTCATGCAGAGAAGGAGAAAGCGATCCTCTGCTCCTCCGATTTCCCCTCTCCCTGATGTCTTCGATCATCTTATACACCACGGCCATCCTGGGCCGGTCCTTCGGCTCTTGCGCTACGCAGAGCAGCGCCACCTGCAAGAGAGCAAACATCTCGTCCTCAGCGCCTTTTCCCCTCGTCAGCTCTATGTCGAACACCTCTGACGTCCATTCCTCTCTCACCACGGTCTGCACCCACTTGGCCAAATCCTCTTCACCGTGCACCACCGCGGGCCTGCCCGTCAATATCTCCAACAGAATGATCCCGAAGCTGTACACATCGCTTCTTTGCCGGGTTTCTGCCACCGCAGCGTGGGAACCGGAGCTGAAGGACGAGGAGGGTGGTGATGGAGAGACTAGCTCGAGCAGGCCGAAGTCGGAGATGCATGCGTTGCCTTCACCGTCGACGAGGACGTTGGAAGAGGTGAGGTGTTGGTGGGAGAGCTTGGAATTGGATGTTCCGTGGAGGTATGCGAGGCCTTTGGCGGCACCCAGCGCGAGCTGCAGCCTTGAGGTCCATTCCAATGGAATCCTTCCTGGTCCTCGGTTCCCTGCTGCACAATACGAAATTTAGAGATTGGCTAAAGATTTAGATAATGGTGATACAAATTTAAGCTCCGGTTTAACTGAGCTACCAACAATTGATGCCTCACTGGTCGCAACTCTTAAGGGAATTGAAAAACTTTACATTGCTGCGCTAACAATTCCAGTCTAATCCAACACAAGATTCGATTTCAGTGAAGGGTTCAAATTCAACCAAAATTGACCCAACTATAACCATTAGGATCCGAGTTTCCTCTGTTGATGGAACTTAATAATCTGGAAATCCAAGTAGAAACCCACATGGATATTAGGATCCGGATTTTGGGTAGTTTATCGGATTTTATATATATATATATATATATGTATATATATATGTATATATGTATATAT